TCCTCCTCCTCCTCCCTTCCCCTCCCCCTCCTTCATCCCCTCCTCCTCCTCCTCCTATTCCTCCTCGTTTTAGTATGAGTGTTACGACTCTTTTAACACAATAAGGTCATATACGCCCGAAGATTAGATATAGGTGTTGCAAGAAAGTAACAATACGAACACAGAAAGGAGGAGATGCAATAAGGACAGTAGTTGTTCGATAGGAAAGAAAGAACAAACTACACCAGAGCACCCGCCAACCGCTCAGACACTAACTCATACCACAAAACAAGAAACAGACATAAATAAAGCAACCAGTAACAAAATAACCCTTCAGGGAAAAAATGACGTTGTCTGATGGAGTAAAGAGAAGCTCATAAACACAATAAAAAGTGAAAATGGTGAAATGGTGTTGGTTTAACGCCCTTTTCAACATTGTCAGATAATTTAAGAGGCTACTAGTTTAACGTCCATCTCCGAAAGGACCGAGCCAAGTGGGATATTCGTGTAAAGTGCCTTTCCCTGGAACATTAAGTCGGACCAAGCTGAGGCTCCAACCCCCGAACCCGCAATCACAATGATAAGTAAGACAGAAATATCAGAGGGAAAACAAAGAAGCAGGACCTGGCAGTGGCACCCTCCAAACTCCCGCAGAAAATGACCTCGACAATTCGCTACCTTAAGGCTACACAAAGTTCTATCCGACTTTTTTGGCCGTTTAAGTTGCTCTATCCGCTCTATCAAAATCGTAAGATTATTAGGAGTCGCTATATCAAGATGTTCAAAGAATTGCATTCGAAAAAGATGGACCGTGCTGGAAAACTCCAAATTTTTAACTTCAAATTTCTCAAAACTAGGCATTTAGCAGGTAGAAATTTTTTAAATTCTAGGGTAGCTTTGTACTGGTAAAAAGTAAGGCAGAAACATCAGAGGGAAAGTAAAGGAGTAGGACCTACAAGTGGCGCCCTCCAACCACCCGCAGCAAATGACTTTGACAATGATAGATATTTGCTACCAGTAGCGCTCTCCAACTACCCGCAAAAATGATTTAGACAATTACAATTTGCCATGGCCGAGACAAAATGTTCTTTTTTCTGTTACAGTGTATGGGGCAGACTTGGTACCTGGCTACTGACATGCAGTTCTACTTGGTCAGCCCTCTCCTGTTTGTTCCATTCTACTAGTGAGTCTGTTCGTTCCATTCTACTAGTGAGTCTGTTCGTTTATACTGTGAGTCTATTCGTTCTATTATACTAGCGTGTACCTCGGAATAATGTTTCAAACCTTCACATCGCCCCCCCACCCTAGCCCACCCCCTCTCCTATGGACTTATGATGTTTTGTTTGGTTTGGTTTGGTGATACCTCATCATAGTTTGGATACACATGGATAGTTCAGAGCAACAACCGTAATCTGAAATCAGTTTCCGACCATGTTGGATGTTTATGACAGTACTGAATCTTAACTCTAATTGTTCATCCTTAAGACTTCCAAATTAATGAATTCTAACAAGGAGAAATAACACGGCAATTAACGATGGTGAACCAAACAAAGTTATAGCTGATTAAACAGATATTACAGAGACGTATTACATTCCTTCCTTTTTAAGCGTTTCTTATTGACTGAGCCAAAAGACCAAAATGAAGGAAACTGAATTTGGGCTAAATTGATCAAATTCAAAATGAAATCAAATTTCAAACGGTCGTCGCAATAGAACACAAATCATTCACATACTAAATTTGTTTACACTAACAGAGTAACATTAGTAACAAGGATAGGGCTATAATCATTTGCAACAAATACACATGGTCTACTGCAATCCAAGTAGAGACATCGTGGGGTGCGAAACCTAAAGGCGACTATAAGACAGGCCTGTCTGGCGTTTTGCGTTGTCTGCTAGACCTTCTCAGTGCAGGAGGGGAATGAGGGGATTCTGTAATAACAGGATCGAGAGACACACTGTTGTTGCTACTGTTAGGAATGGTGCAACCAGAGCGGAGGGGGCTCTGATACAGGGCTTTGCTCAGATAGAAGACATGAAACATTTTCCTGTTTGTCAGCACTCTGAGTGTTTCTTTCATTCATCTTTAACTCACACCTTTCTTTCGGTACACTTTCTTCCCTCCCCAACTCGCACCTTTCTTTCAGTACACTTTCTTCCCTTTTTTCTACCGTTGACTGATCAGAAAGAGACATTTCAAAATCACAACATGTGACTCGAATTTGGTCTTGGTGTCTTCTAATTAGGCGTTGAGAGCTTTGTTGGACTTGTGAAGGGCAGGAAGTTTGAAAGGATGAAAATCATTTAAAGTCATCACGGACAGAGACGCACCGGTGTCAACCTGAAATTTCCCTGGGTACTTGTTGACAATGAGCTCCACATCTATGGGTCTGACTCTAGACCTTGATTCAGTCATGGCAAAAAGATGGAAGTTGTCTTTATCAGCTTTTTTATCAGATTGTGTGTCTGTGTTTTTTTGTGATTTGCTCTACCATTTTGCTTTATTTGGCGGCGCTGCTGGCATAAACTTTGTTGACTTTGGCTTAGATCTAACATTTTGGATATGTGACCTTTCTTAGAACAATTGAACTCTTCTCATTTTAAAACTTGGAAGCATGTGGGGCATGAGGACCACCACAACGACCACACGGGTTGTGAGATGGTTTACGTTGAGACTTGGAAAAGTTTAGAGATGTGTCATTTCTATGCCTGTCTGGGCCCTGAAGTTGACGCTCTCTAGCTGCTTCTTCTGTAGCCATTGTAGTCACTGCTATTTTAACAGCCTGACGGAGTGTCAAGTCTGTTTTTGCGAGCAGTTTACGTTGAAAACTTTCATCATTAATGCCGCTTACAAATTTCTCACAAAGTCGCTCTTCCAGTTGAGCTCCAAAGTCGCAGTAGTCAGCTAACTTTCTTAGTTCTGCTATGAAGGTTTAACGGTCTCACCTGTTTGTCGCGTATCCTAGCTTCAAAAGTAGCTCGTCGGAGGAATTTAGAAGGTGGGGGCTCATAATGATTGCGTAGCAATGTACACAGTCCCTGAAAGGATTCATCTGTGATGCTGTGGGCATGCACACGCCAATGAGTAATCTAAACTGCTGCGCACCAATCACTGTCAAAAATATTGCTCGTTGCTTGGAATAGTCATTAACAGAACTAAAATCTAGCCTCTAAGTAGAACTTTAATCTTTCATCATAGTCTGAAAACTTTCCTTTCGTTGGCACAAAAATTCATCGATTCTGCCAAACAGTGACAGGTCTGTTGTACGTATTATCTTTACTGTGCTCAAAGTCGAACTAACCTGATATTCTGGACAGCTTGTAGCTCGATGGAGTGAAGAAATACCTGCGTAGCATTAATCTTTAGTAACTTCACAAATTTAATCCACGTCGCCAAATCTGTGCGGCCTCATTATAGTTTGGCAATTGGATACGCATGGATAGCTCAGCACAACAACCTTACAATGAAATCAGCAATCGACCATGTTGGATGTTTATGACACTACTGAATCTTAACTTTAATTGTTCATCCTGACGACTTCCAAATTAATTAATTTTAACAAGGAGACATAACTACGGCAATTAACGATAGTGAACCAAGCACCGTTATTGCTCATTAAATAGATATTACAGAGATATATTACAGGTTTGTTCGGGGGGGGGGGGGGGTCGTGTTTTTCCCCCGACAGTTAGAATAATATTCCTGAAGCTATACTTATCAATAAATTATATTAAAAATGGGCGGTGTACTTTTATAACTTGATATATTTCGGTTTTAGAACTTTTCAACGCTTTCCCTTTCTCTTCCCCATTTTTATCACCCCCCTCCCCCCTCTAACCCAGCCCACTTTTACTAAACCTAAACTAACTTATCAATCGTCTCTCCTCCACCTCCCCCCTCCCCCCACCACCCTGAAACAATATGTACGCAGGCCTAGCAGTGTGTGGGACGGTTCTGTTGTCCAGCTGGATAGTGACTGGTGTCCTCAGCTTGAATAGAGGTTGGGTGGCTTCGGACTTTGCCATGGGGTGAGTGGTTTTGTTGTTTAACGAGTCGAACTTTTTAATTTTATGTCGTTGCTTGTTTGTTTTTCGTTCTTTTTATTGTTGTTGTTGTTGCTTTGTCGATTTTTTTGGTTGATTTGTTGAGGGGGAGGGGGGGTGCTTTTTTCCCCCTTTTGTTTTGTTTTTTTAGTTATTTAGTAAGCGTTTCACGTCACAATTTCAACACAATTACACCACAGCTGTTGTTGTTGTTGCTGTTGCTGCTGCTGTTGTTGTTATTGCTGATGACGTTTTCGGACTTTAAAAATGTATTTATTTAGTTAGCGTTTTACGTCCTTACAGCACAACTAGATCTCTCTCTCTCTCTCTCTCTCTCTCTCTCCCCCCCCCTCTCTCTCTCTCTCTCTCTTGCCCTTTTAAAATCCCAGTGGAGGAAAGGCCGTTAACAACATTTTTCCAGCATCTGTCCTGTGCATCATTTTCTAGCTGTTTCCATTATGTCCTCGCATTTTTCATTTCCGCTTTTACCGCTTGCCTCCATGTCATCTTTGGTCTTCCTTTCTTACGTTTTCCTTGTGGATTCCACGTCAAAGTTTGTCTAATGATGCTTGTCGGGGATCTCCTCCGGGTGTGCCCAATCCATTTCCATTTCTTCACCTGTATGTCTTCCTTTACTGGCCTTTGGCTTGTTCTTTCTCACAGTTGAGCATTTTTGACTCGATCGTACCACTATCCCTTTTTTACATCCATTTATGAAGCTCTACAGTTTCCTTGCTATTGATGCTGTGAGCCTCCATATCTCTGAACCATACAGTAGAACAGTCTTCTTTTTTTATAATGGACGATAACCATCCGCTCAATAAGAAAGAGGGGCAGATTTCTCCGTCCCTCGGGTGCCTCGGGGCAGTATCCGCCTCGCTAAACCAGTGGGCACCGGAGGAGAAGCTGAGAACAGATACCACCTTTGGTGTTAGCCAAAAGTAGAACAGTCTTCACTCTTCTTTTGAAGATTCTCAGCTTGGTGTTCAATCCCAGTTCCTTAGACATCCTTATATTCCTGAGGATAATGAATGATGCTCTTGCCTAGATAACAGTTGCCCTTTTTTTGTTTAGTTTTTGGCTTTGTAGGGTTATTTTTTGGGGATTCTTAAATTTATTTCGTAGGCTTTTTACATCACTTATGACATAAGTAGATCCCACAAGTGCGGAAGATTAAAGGTGCTGCACACATGTTCAAAGAAAAAAAGGTGGTGGACATAATAAAAATAATATTATTATATGTTTGATGGCAAAGAAGGAGCAAACCACTCAAGTGCACCCACCAACCATCAGTGTCCAAACTGTATCAGCCTGTTTTCCTCAGTCACACCAACCCACAAGCGGACAGATTTACAGACTACTACTTAGCTCCCAACACCAGAGTAGGACCCTTTGTCATCGGAATTTTGGCCGGCTACCTCATGGCGCGACACGGCGGCCAGATCGCCATTCAGTGGGTATGGCGTGCCCCTTCTTCACTCTGACAGCTTCATATTTTACGCTTCATTCAGTTTCGTTTAGTTTAAGTAGAATTTTTACAGCACTAGCAACGCGAATAGGTCACCAATAGCCTGATCTTTTACACTTAGTTTACTTTAGCTTAGTTTAAGTAAGAGTTTTATGGCACATGTAACATCGTCGGCACTTTTATGACCTATTTGTGTCGCAAGTCCCATAATACTCTCACAAGACAACAATTTGCAACATCTTTCGTCCTTATCTCTCCTCCTTCTTTTGTGTTTGTTACTCTCTTGTATAACACCTCTAATCTTCGGCACTAATAATATGACCTGTTTGTGTTGCAATTGCCGTAAATGTTTCCTAAAATAAAAACACTTGCAACACAAATAGGTCATACAGGTGTCTAAGGTTAGAGGTGTTACTAATGAATCGTCTATAAAGAAAAGGGGGAGAGATCAGGACGTTTGATAGAAAAGAAGAGGTTTTACTTCCCATCGACGCACCCCGACCCCCCCAAAAAAAAATTTTTTTTAATGTTTAGAATAAATCCTTCCCCCTCCCCCGCATGCCCTCATTTGGCTAAAATTGAGTTTTGAAATATTATAGTGATCTACTTAAATGAGGTAGTGCTTGATGAGGCCCACGTGGGACGCTCATTCTTAAAAATAATCAGGAAATGATAAATGCAAATTTTGGGAAACCTGAATGACATAAGGGTTTTGAGCATCTAGATCTCTCTGACAAAATTGAAGGCAAACGAGGCAGGGGTAGGCCCAGAGCGACCTGGGCCAATGGGTAACAGGGAAAGATCAGGGAAACGTAGCTTTTGTAAGAGCATCCGAGCAAAGGAATGAAAGTAGAATAATGATTGCTGATATCTATTGCAGATCTGGGACTGGGTGAAGATGATGGTCTACATAATGAACCGGAAACACTTCAGAGCGCATAATTTGATATTTTACAACACACGTCGACGGGAATGGGCTATTTCTGATGTGATGCAGCCTGGTGCGACAAACTTACAAAAGACATTAGTGGCATTCTTTGAGTTACAAGTCTTGATAATAATATAATAATCCTTGTTTTTATGCCACGTGATTGTACGTTGCACATATTGGCAGTACATAATAGTAAGCATGATGATTGGTTGGGCTGCTGCTATGGCAACCGGCCTTTGGATTGTTTAGAATTTCCATAGGAGAGTAGTGGGATTCTCTTCCCTCCAAGTCGAGAAAACACAATCCTTGTCGTATATTTTGCAGAGTTGTTGTTGTACATTTTGATTTCCTTTATGTATTTTGTCGCCCATTTTACATCGGCAGTACGTGGTGGTCATTGGCTGGGCCGTTGCCGTGGCAACCGGCCTCGCGGTTGTTTACGGTATCCATGGCGACATAACTGCTAAGGACCCCAGCTCTACAGAAGTTGCTGCTCTCTACAACGCTTTGTCCAAGTCGGTGTGGGCTGTCGCCATCAGCTGGGTCGTCATTGCCTGTGCTTCGGGATACGGAGGTGAGAAGTCCTTTGTAGCTGTAGACTTAATGATTATACACCAGCATCGACACAGTTTAGATACACTTTTGTTATTATAATAATATTGTGTAGTATAGTATAGTCTGTTTTTCGGCGACAGGGCGAATTAGTCACGAACGACATGGCTTACGAGAGACCTGCATGGGTGATTTCCTTTTTTTCCCCCATCCGACATCAACCGTCCCTATCTCTCCACCTTCTTTTCTTTGTATGCTACTCTCTAGAAAAGCCTCTAATCTTCAGCACTCCTATGACCTAACTGTGTGGCTCCCCTTGAGGAGAGGTGATACAATGTTATGGGTAAATTGTGCCCTCTCGACTTGGATTCGATCCGAGGAACTTGTGTCAGAATCTCTGCAAGCTTAATGAGGCTTAAATGATCAGGGAGTAGAATGCTGCATTTTTAAAGATCATTATTTGTTTGCCAACTTGCTACCTACAACCCGCTTACAAATACTCCAACATACCTGCCACTATGCTGTCTTCCCAATTAGCTCCTCTCGACACTTGTCTTAGTCCGATAGAATAGGCTAACACTAACAATGCCACCTTAACAGAGACTGTGCCCACCATTTCGGAACTTCACGGTGACGTAAAGATGGTTCCAGTAGGGAACGGGATAGAGGGTGCCCACGTCCCTCGTGACTCATTGGAGCAGAGGAAGATGGGACTAACACTAACATTACTTAAACGCAATCCCTCATCATGACTCATCACCACCATTACATCTAAAATCATCACCGTTCTCAGGTCAATGACTTACATCTATAATCCTGGAATCTCTATCTGTTATTACAGTTACTTGTTATACGAAGAATGCACGTAATACGCTATTGGACACTATCATACGCACTTTTTTTCTACTAATCAGATGGCGTCAATCTCATATAAATGGGCAAGGGATAAAACAAAATGACCAAACTGTGTTGCAAGTTTTGTAAAAGTATTACTAAATCTAAACTAAAGATAACTGCTATGTGTATATGATGTAATTGTAAAAGTTTATTGCCAGTATCGACACAATTTAGACACATCTTGTTCTACAAATTAATGTGATTGCAAATGCTTAACGCCCCATTGACACAGTTTGGGTAATTTGGTTGTTTATAAAGAATAAGAGCACAATTCCGAAAAAATGATAAGCAAGAACCTTATTTAGAAAACAAAACAAAATAAAACACAACCAAAGAAACTCCCAAAAAATACCCCCCCCCCAAAAAAAAACACACAAAAAAAACACCCCAAAGCCCCCCCTCTCTCTCTCTTTTTACGTTTACTTCCCTATAACGTTTGAGGTATTTATCTGGCCCCTGTAAAATTGTGACAACTGATTACAACCTTTTCCGGTTCAATGACTTATTAATCCCTTCCCCCTCCCCTCCACCAGGTCCTGTGAACTGGCTCCTGTCGTGGAAACCGTTGATCGTGCTGAGTCGTCTGTCCTATCTCGGCTACCTGATCCACCCGTACATCATGTACATCTACTTTGGCAACCAGGGAGCTGCCTTCTTGCTCAACGACTCCAACATGGTAGTTTTATTCTTTGTTGGTGTTTGTTTAGTTTCGTTACTGTTTGTTTGTTTTTGTTGTTTTGTTGGGGTTTTTTTTACTGGCTTTTGGTTTGTCTGCATTGTTTTTGTTGGTATGGTTGTTTTGGCTTGGGTTGGGATATTTAAATTTTTTTGGGGGGGGGGGGTTAGAGGGGGGATGGGTATTTTTATATTGTAAAATTGTTGTATAAGCCTGAGACTCGACACCAGGAATGATGCTTATAGCCATTCAAATCCCTATCTATTACTCTCAATTGCACTGAAAACAAGTTAAAACAGCAAACGTTGTACACATGACAGATTTTTTAAAGAGCCCAATTTTTGGTACCACCTTCCCGTAACGAGCAGCTCACGTGAGCTTCTTCAAGAACCACCGGTACCTCATTTGATTTCTTTCCCTTCCAAGAAATTCTCAGCAGTCTAGTAACTAAAATTTACTAAGGAATCACATTTCGGTTGCTTCTATATAGTCGCTTTTAAGGACAGGCAGGCTAGCCCATATTTCGGAGGTTTCCAGAATTGGGCTTTACTCTACTTATATGAGAAGTTTGGTTTCATTGGTGTGTTTATTTGTTTGGTTATAGAGAAAACTCTCCTTGTCTTTTAAAGTAACTGAACAAAGGGCAAAACCTTTACCTTCGATTTTCTCAAAACAGCATTTTTCGGGATAGCCCCCTTGTGCTTAACAAGCGACCATATTATGTACTCTGTATTTTGTGGTTGTAAACCAAGCGTTTTCTCCCTCCTTATCTATTACCGTACCCTCACTTACACTGTAAACTGTCATGACAGCAAACGTTGTACGTTGTACGACCGTAAGGTCGTGGGGTTCGAATCAGGGGCCCAATGATGTTCTGTTAGTGTTTGAGCGCTTAAGCAGTTCCTTACGTTGTATGCTTCCCGGGAAGCTGAGAATGTTTCTCAGTCATTATCATTTTTACTACTATTATTATTACTAGACACAGACCTGTTCTACGAACGGTGATATAGTGATAGGAAAGCCCAAGATAAAATGCTTGTACCGGTACCAGATTCATTGCCGTAGGACCTCTGTGTAGAAGACATTGCTGGTATATGCACCATCTGGAACTCTGTCCTGGGCAGCAGGTCTGTTTGCATGTATCCTAATAGAGTCCCTGGACCTAACACGACTCATTTCGACATATAATTGTCAATGTGAAAAAATCGTCCTGTAAAGAAACCCCTTTCCTTTTCAAAGTCCGTCCCTGATCTTTGTTAGCAGTCATTGCAAAAGCAGGTCTTACCGGAAATTGTTTCCGTAGCATATGGAAGGGAAATATGTTGTCTGAGGGCATGAGGGGAATCCTTGGGATGAAAAGACTCTTTCTGGCATGTGGACCGCAAGCAACGACTACATAAATTACATGTTGATGAAGGTGTTGAACCCTAGGCTTTCTCAGACTGAGAAGGCCTAGGTTGAACCACATATCGAGTCCCGTTGCAGCGGCTGTTTGTGGGATCCAAATTTCTCAGCAAAATGGCAATATCAGTTTGTGGGCTGGCATACCTGACGGACATAGAGAATTGATCAATTCGATGGGGTATTGGTGTTCATTTTCTTCCACCGAATCACTGATCCTGTGGACTTTTTCTTCTCCGGGAAAAGGACTGCAGGATCAGGATATTGATTCAGTCTTCTTCTGTGTCGGTGGGACAGATGATGCAGTGGGAAGCCAGCCAGTCAGGATTTGTGTTAGACTGAAAGTTACCGAAGACAAAATTTATCAACTCTCGTTCGTTGTTCACTGTGATGTTATCGGGCAGTTTTATCGCAAACTCCCCGATTTGCTTGCATACGTTGTGTTTGCCATCACCAATGTTCAGTAGACAGTTGGAGAAATTAACAGTCTCATCTGTAAGCAAAATCCTCATGTTTCTTGTCAGTCTGAGCACATTAACATGCTCCCACAGATATGATGATTTCAGGGTTGCATTGACTATTTGTGATCTTGAGCCATGGCGAACTACTGGTAGTATTTGGCGCCAGTCACCTGACATCAGCACAGTTAGCCCACCGAACAGAGAGTTATTCCCACATATGTCTTGAAGCGTTCGGTCTATGGCTTTAAAGATGTGTTTGTGGTCCATCGATACTTCGTCAATGATGAGCAGCTCTGTTTGGCGTAATAAAGTGCCACTGGCATCTCGGGGACTCACACTGCACATGGACTGTTCGTTCACACACAGAGGTATTTTGCATCTGCTGTGTAATGTTCTGCCATTTGAGAGCAGAGTTGCTGCACTGCCTGACAGAGCTGTAGCAAGGGCGATCTTCTTAAAGGAACGGACAGCCGCAAGAATCAGGCTTATAGGGTGGGTTTTCCCCAAACCCTCCACTTGCCTCCAGCGCAAATATCTTGCCTTGCTTCTGTACAAATGACTCTATCACAGCATCACACACGACTCTTTGTTCTTCATTAAGCTTTGGGTACTCTTGATTCTCCTTCTCTCGCAGGTTTTTTGTGTCAAAATTGAACTCCTCGTGGACAAATCTTGGTTGTTCTCCCTCAACGTGACTGTGTTCTGCAGGTGGCAGCTGAAAGTCTTTATGCAGATTCGTTTCATCATTATCAAGAATGTGCTGAAGTTGTAGCAACACTTAGTTCTCAATCTGCGGATTCAACTCTGTGATCTTGTCTCTCATCATAATGTCCCGGCACAGTTCCAATTTGTGCTTGTGCCAAAATGAGAGAGGATCAGCGGGGCGACAATAGATGGGAATGGTTGTAAAGGCAAGACGTAACTGGGGTCCAAAACAGGGAGATGCTTCTTACGTTACTGCATTCTTCTCAGTGTCACCATCGACCAGTCCAAGTTGGTTGCATGCGTCTTGATAAGATGTGCAACTTGATCCATTTACTCGATAAAGCACAATATGAAACAGAAGTAGGCCCCAGTCCAAAAAAACAACAACTAATATTCCGTGGGCCTATAGAAGCAGCTGAAACAGAACTATGTGGCATACACACACGTCAAAACACAAACAACACTTCTGTTCTTACTAACTACAGCAAAAAAGTACAAATCTTTGGCACACACACAACAAAACACAAACCGCACTTATGTCCGTGTTAACTTCTCCAATAAAGTAGAACTCTGTGGCACACACACAACAAAGCACAAATCGCACTTCTGTTCTTGCAAACTACTCACACGCACAACAAAGCTCGGGTTCGAAACGGAAGTAGTCCCCAGTAAAATATGAAATGGCTAAAGGTAGAGTGAAAACATCAGAGATCTTCGATTTACAGGAAAAACCATCAAACCTGAAAAATCAACCCAAAAAATTGAAAATATGCCCACGTAACCCTTTGGGGCAATTCTCGTCTGAATCATATTTTTGTACATTTTATGGGCACCTGTGTAAAAAGTTTTTACTGACCCCACAAACGGGCTTAGCTCCATTATAATAAGATTTTAATTATTGTTAGTATTGTTGTTGTTGTTGTTATTATTATTGTTATTATTATTATTCGTCTATTCAGACGGTCAATTTAGCTTAAGATGGTCTCAAGGTTGTCATCATGCAGTTTCTTTCAAGGCTAATTCTTCCTATGTTTGAAGCGCAGATTCTGTCGCAGTGCTTGCATGTCAGTGACGCGGATCGAAGTTCTGTATTTCCGCTGTTTTTCTTTCGTCGTTGGCGCTTCTCAGCCTGGTTGTTTCTAAGGCTGCTCTCTTGCATTATAGTTCTTTCCTTTATCATTTTCTTACATGTTTTCCTGTCCTCAGCTATTTCTTCCCAGATGCTAACATCTACTCCAAGCTTAGATAAGCAGTTTTTGCAGGTGTTTTTGTACCTCAATTTTGGTCTTCCTCTTGGACTCTTTCCCTGGACAAGTTCTCCATAGAAAAGTTGCTTCGGAATCCGGTTATCGTCCATTCTCTTGACCTGACCCACCCATCTCAATCTTTTTAAACACAGCATAGCTGCCATGCTCTGGAGGTTTGCCCGTGCCAACACTGTAACATTTGTAACCTTGTCACGCCTCGAAATGCCCAAGATCTTGCAGCAGCATCTGAGATAGAAAATGTCTAGGCGCTTTTCTTGCCTGCTGTAAAGGTCTATGTTTCAGATCCATAAAGGAGTGTGCTGAAGACACATGCTTCGTAAATCTTGATCTTTGCTTTGATGGTTAATATTTTGTTTTCCCATGCTTTGTTGTCAGTCTTTCAAAAGCTGTGACTGCCTTCCCTATCATGATGTTGATCTCATAATCAAGAGATGTAGTAGAGCTGATGGTAGACCCCAGGTAACAGAACCTGTCCACTGTCTCAAGTTCCTTGTCCTTCAGCCATATATGGCTCTTCTCTGCATCTCTTGAGTTAGGATGACTGTTATCTTAACACTGATGACCAAGCTAAAGACCTTGCATGCTGCTGATAGGCGGTCCAATATTGTTTGTAGGGTTGATTCTCTGAGAGCAACAAGAGCAGTATCATCGGCAGAGAGAAGGTCTCGTACTGTTGTTTTGTTGATCTAGGTCTTGGCCTTGAGTCGAGCAAGATTGAAGAGCGACCTATCAGTTCTCCAATAGAGGAAGACATACCCTGGTGACTCTTTGAATGCGTGTTGTAGTAAGACAGCAAAATAAGTGCTAAAAAGGGTTGGTTCTAAGACACAACCTTGCTTTACTCCGCTATTGATGTTGAAACTGTTTGATGGCATTCATATTTTCGTGGAATGAGATGATGAGCTGCAGCAGTATTGAGGGACAGCCAATTTTTCTAAGTACCATGTACAGTCCTGATCTACTGACTGTATCAAAAGCCTTTGTCAGATCGACGAACGCAGTATGTAATGGCAGTCGTTGCTCCCTGCATTTTTCTTGTAGCTGACGGATAGAAAAGATCATGTCCATTGT